GCAATGCTAAGATCTTTTCCTTCCCTCATTGTTCAGAGTTAATTATTTTCTCAGAGTGACAGACAGAGAGAGGAGAAAGAGAGACGGATGAGGAGCGAGAGAGAGAAGAAGGAGAGATGAGAGACTGAGAGGAAGAGAGAGAAAACTAAGCATGGAGGAGAGAGATGCTATCAATCAGATTGANTTAAACTCTAAGATAAGACGGAGTTAAAGTCTTTTCGTTCTTACGTAAAAGGATACAAGGAGATGTATTTTGTATTATAAAAAAGCTACCCATTTATAAAGGATCCAGCTCGAATTATCCACAATACTGAAAAGCGACAATCCGAGACTTAACATAGACCAATAAGTTAATTAAAGATTACAATTATTTCAATGAATTCACGTACCCAACAATAATAATAATCCATCGCCTAACGCAGTTATCCTTCGGACAGAGAGTGACGGCGATGAATTGTGTTGGGAGAGGGGAACATGTTTTCTTCAGGATCTGCTCAGCGAGGTCCATAGAAAAGTATACTTGTTAATTTTGTATAAAGTAGTTGAGAAAAACTCAGCTCATAATTCTTCTTTAAAACACTGGTTCATATTTGATTTAAAACGTCAACTTGTATGACCCTGGCCATATAATTTTTGTTTCACTAACCTGGGAATATGAGTTCCATGCCCACAGCCGCTGAACTTCAAAGATTCCTCGTGGGATTATATTGGTTTTTATATTCATTACCATAAGTTATTTCCTTTATCAGAATATTTGATCATTTGTGTAAATATATACAATTTCATTTTCATAATAAATACTAAGTATGAAAATTCTGAGATGATCGATGTTATTGCCGAAAATAACTCTGAATGGCAACTCAAGCGATGGCACCCATGAAGTTCATGACAGACATGTGACGTAACAGTACATGATTGGTGGGATTAACTTGTCCCTTCTGCGCATGTGCAGGATTAAAAAATAAGCTTAATATTAAAGCCTGGTCTAGAGGTACATTAAAAGTTGATCCTGGACGCTGCCAATGCGTATGCGCACAAGAGATCTGGATTAAACTTTAATACTGGATTAACTTTTATGGCACATACAGAAAACACCTATAATGAAGTTACAGCTAGTATCAAATCAGAATAGATGCTTGTCGCCGATACTAACTAATCCGGGTAATTTTCATTAGAAAAATTACCCAAATCTGAGACCTATAAACTATTTATGTTGTCTTCTGTCCAGATGAAGTTGAACTAGTTGCGTAACCCAGCCAAGTAGATGAGATTGGCGGCGTTTACACGGATTTGTTGGGAAATGGCAAAGATAAGTGTTGCATATTCTCGTAAAGCAAATTTTGTAGGCCTCTCAGGTTTATTATCACCAAATCAGGAAGTATCTCACATTATTTTGTTTTAATAGATATGGTGCTTTGTTGGCCTTTGATACAATGATGACTTGCATAGAGGGTCTGGCTATGATTTGTTGCTTTGCAGCATAAAACCTTACTATAATCCCATGTAAGAATGGGGTATGGGATGGAGTCACCGAGTAAGTGCATATCATCACCCTCCAGACTGTAGAGTGTGATCTGCACGAGGAACGAGATCCCCACTCAAAAATTATTTGGTCAAATTCTGTTCGCTCAAATATAGTTCTTGGGTAACTTTCCGTGCACACTTATTTCATTTTTAAATCATCTTCCATGCTTAAACTTCTTTTGACCTTTCCCCCGCACTTGATTCATCATCCATCCGCAGATCTGTCCGCGCAAATGTAGACAAGTTGATGTTTTCCGTGCATGAAAGATGTAATATTCCCCACACAAGAAAAATAATCAACAGTCTGGATCATCCTTTTGAAATAATTTCTCTACTATTCAGAAATCATTCAAAAACTGCTAACTTTATTAATTTGGTAATTTTTTCTAAAAGTTTTGCTTAAAGGATCATGATGATTTTGATATTGTTGGATTCCCTTCATTCTTTAGTTTCCAAACATATAGAAATTATTCTTGGCCCTGATAGCAGGGGAAGGCATGAAAGGTACCAGGGAAATTACGGGGTAAAATATGATTAATAGTGAAAAAAATACATGAAAGTACACTTGTTCACACACTACAAAAATGCCTCAAGTCCTTCAGGCATCAATCCATTGTTAATGAGAACTACAAACAAGACTCCGTGTATTCTTTTCCACACACATTTCCTTCAAAGTGCATATCCTCTTATCCTTTTTCTCATGCTCTTTTGTCTTCTTAGCACTCTATAGTAGGTCTTTTGCACACAGTAATAATAGAATTGAAACACACCTACAACAAACAACCACTATGCACTTACATCTAGTCAGGTAAGCTTTAGTCATGTGTCTGAGGTAAACATCGGCTGAACAGCTGAGTGACTGTAGAATATACTACTCTTTAATAAAAGCAATGTATCTAATAATGAGATACTATAGGAAGTGTAGATAAGCATAGATGCTGAAATGTTGTTGTTTGATGTGAGCAGAAACTTCTTATTTGTCGCTGATAATAATGCCTAAGTTAGCTTGTTATATATACAGGAAAGTTGTAGGGGATTTTAGACGTCTTACCCTAGACTTGGCATTGGAAGTTAAACCATTAGGTACATTACAGAGTTGCTGTTGTTGTTACTGTGAGTTATTATTATCTTATATGTAATGGTAAAGATGTTTTCCTTACAGTTTCCCTGATATATTTCCTACATTTCCATAGATTTTTTTTTTTTTTTTTTATATAATCCCAGAAATTATTAAGGTATAAGATTTTTTAGTTAGGCATTTACAACAATGCATCTAGTTTTAGAGTTTTAATCAGTTTATGTATTTCAGGTGTGTGACAGTCTATAGGGCAAAAATTTTCAACTGTGATACAATTTTATGATATTTTTATTGATACATATAAAAGTATGAAATTCTTGCTGAAGATATTGTCTTTGGGGGACATTTATTATACATCAAATATTAACATTTGTTACCTTTGCAGGATTTATTAGGAGCAGGACTCTGAATATTTGTACCTTCTGTAAGGTATCCTGTAATATTCAGTGTAGAGACTTCGCATACATTAGAAGTATGGCATCAGATGAACCAACACCCAAGAAGGCAAAACTTGATGATGATGCCCTCAATATTCACAAACGCTGAATGGGAAGTACTTAGTGCATATATTATGTAACGTATAGTATTATGACTTTATCATGTCACTCTTAACTCTTATTATTACAGAAAAGAAGAGTTTTAATTTTTGTTGATAAGAAATTACTTAAACAAGAGGGGTTATATAAGCTTAATAAATGACTCCTAAGTGAGAAATTGCTTGTAAATCCATGTCTGTGTAAATGCAATCAATAAAATAAAACTTTTGTGAACAGTGCATGTACCTAGCACTAATGGATTAATACAGGTCTACCCAGGGACACAGGGCTATGTTTCTTAGGAAAATTAGGCTAATCTAAAACACTTTGATTATGTAACATATTTCGTGGTAATTTATACTATTGATATTTAAGGCAGAATAGTGGTGAGATAGTCATGATACGTCTCACAGATGATTGCAGTGACATCATTGTCAAATGATTAAGTGCATGGTAAACCATGTAGCCAAGTTAATTTAGATTAAGCTTGAATAGAATAGGATAGGTTAGTAACATAAGAATTTTTTTCACTGTTTTTTGTATTCTATATCTGTCTGATATTTACTTTCTTTGAAAGATTATATGTTTTTTTTTGAAGGGTCTGTTAACTTTAATAAATATAACAAAGATTAATTCATAAGTTCAACATCTAAAGCTAGGGTCACACTAGTCTTCTCAGTCTTGGGATCCCTAGACAGCTTTGCCAAAGTCAGATCAGATGCCAATCAAAAGCTGTAGCTGGCCAGACTAGGGATCCCAGTGTGACCTTAGCTTAAGACTCATGGGCAGGTTAAATCATCAATTGATTTTGAAGCCTTTAGTTGAGTATAAGTTGATAGGTGTGATCAGAGCCCTCAGGTCAGTTCTACCTCAAACAGGTTTGTAATTGTAGAATACAGTAAAACCTAATAGTTGTCTGATGTCTTGAGTCATATACTACAAGTGACTGGGTAGGACCCAGCACTGGCTAAACAGTTTACAAAAGCTAAGAGGCCAGCAGGTGCCCTGCTGGCAAAAACTGGCAATTTAAATGAACCTCCTTGTAGCTTGCCAAGAGCAACCCTCATGGATGGAAGTGAAGGGTGGATGTGGCAAGAGACACCTCTCTGCATTATTCCCAGTGATTGATTGATTGATTGATTGCATATAGTGATTTAGGCTTTATATTACTATGGTTATGTCTACAGTGATATAAAAGTAGAGAAAGGTTATATAACATCAGTAGCTGCCTAGCTCAGGAAAAAAAAAATCTTCATGTCTGAAACACAAGTAATCTCTTCACTTGTAACAGTGACATATGTCTGTCTAATAGTGAACGTCTTGGATCCAAGTGCTTCACAAACTCCTTGCGGCCCAAATTCAGGCCATTAGGCTTACTTTGGTGGCCAGTCTGATGGGAGTGTGGCTTGTAGGCTGGCCACATAAAACAGTGGTCAAGACACCTTCCCTCCCTTTCCTTTGTTATTATCTCATTTTCTGCACAAGTGTTTTTTTTTTTTTTGCCATATTCCAGTGTTTATATTTGTCATTTGATATGCTGTATCCAGATGGTGATAGACTGTTTTCCTTACACAGACTCCATATATCTCAAGGTAGCCCAGAACTCAGTGGATTGATTATAACAAGAAGTTATATTTTTTTATTTGTCCTTTTTTTAAAATTTTGAATCATCAACTTTCTGTAATCCAACATGCACTGCTGGTCGTGGCTGGCAGGAATAGGATCCGGAACATGAAAATAGTTTCCTCCAGGTATGGGAAGGTTTACTTTTGCTCCCTAAAGTGTTTTTGAATCTATCACCCTCCATGACTTTACACTTGTGGTGAGTCATTACCGTCACCTTGGCCTTAGCCAAAGTTCTCATGACAGCAAGTTCCAGTCACCCTGGCCCTAAGCTAAATTTTCCCTGACAGTATGTTCATGTCACCCTTCCCTCAAGCCAAATTTTTTCATAAAGTGATGGTCATGCCATCCAGAATGTAGGGGTTAAGACTTAATGAAATTATTAACTTATGTTTTGTTTTCCATCTGTAGCATATCACTAGAAATGGCATTATTTGAAGATCTATGATGTATGTCATATAACATTTTATATTTTGTGCACATTCACAATTTAAACACTTATCCTTAAGTTTAATTCTGTTCCTCATCACCATGTTTTCAGGTGAAAAATAAAATATAGAAATAGAACCTATCTGAATTAGATAAACCTTGCCATGTCTTACTGTTTGAATGATAGCAATGTAAATATAAGAAATTACCAGAAGTATTTTTAAGTCTACTCCAGTATACGACATATTAATTTTGTTTCTCTTTAATAGGAGGCTGAGGATGTAAGTGAATTTAAGTTCAATAAAAAACGAGTAGAAGTGATTAGTAAAGAAGGAGAAGTACCTGATGATTGTGATGGGATTGTATACTGGATGTCTCGAGACCAGAGAGTACAAGGTAGGCTCAAGGAATTTTTGTGCTGCAGGTGTTATGACTGGTTAACACACAATCAGAATCTGAGATTACAATTTAAAAGTTATTAGAATAATTTTTTATAGATGGAAAAATATTGGATTTTGATGAACTTATTTGATAATTGCATAATAGATTGGCAGTCATTAAAAGCAAATTGCATTGCAATGTCTTTTATATATAGTTAATTTAAAGTAAATGCAGTTTATATAAATGGATTGCATTTTCCAGATAACTGGGCATTGTTGTTTGCCCAACGACTAGCCTTGAAGAATAAAGTGTCACTCCATGTTGTTTTCTGTCTGGTTCCAAAGTTTTTGGATGCAACCATTCGCCATTTTCACTTCATGTTAAGGGGTAGGCTATTCTTTAATTATTCATGTGTATATGTAATATAATATTCTCTTATTTTAAGCTGTATTTTGGGTTGCATAACATTAAACCATAATTGTACTAGGCACCAAACTCATAATCAATTTATTACAGACATTCAAAACAAATTATTTGTGCACAGCCATTATCTGTTCATTGATTACAGGTCTAGAGGAGGTGGAGAAAGAGTGTAAAGATCTTAACATTGAGTTTCACCTTCTCCTTGGTGAAGCAAAAGATGTTTTGCCCACTTTCATCAAGGAACACAAAATTGGGGGATTGGTTACAGATTTCTCACCCTTGCGGGTTCCTCGGCAGTGGCTCAAAGATGTTAAGAAAGCTATAAAACCCAATGTGTAAGGTGATTAGACTTTGACTTGATTTATGATTACTGGTATTGGAAAATATATACAAGCATAAATTGCATATATAATAGTGATTTTGATGGGTGTCTCCGTTATTTTATTTCCCATATTTTTAATATGGGACACTATTGGTTTACTACAGGTTGATGCACATAACATTGTGCCATGCTGGATAACCTCAGATAAACAAGAATACTCAGCAAGAACAATTAGAAAGAAAATTCATGACAAGCTGCCCAAGTTCTTGACAAAATTCCCACCAGTTGCTAAACACCGTTATACAAGCAAGTACAAATCAAAGGTATGTGTCTATTTTATTGTGTGCATTCCACAGTCTTTATGTCAATCATGTACTTTATGCAAATGTCACATAGATATCCTGGTGTAAATGTTACAAAAAATACAAAGAAAATATGGTTTTGTTTTATCAAAATATAATTAATCTGAAGGCAACAAGGCCAATCACATAGAACTTCTCAAAGTAATATGAATATTATGAGAATGGATAGTAGCACTCAAGCCAGGGCTTATCACCTTCTCATCCAGACCTGGGAACAATATTTAGGGAACTAGTTGAGCCATACCTAATTCATTATTTGTCCAGATATTGGGTTCTCTGGTAAACAATGAGGATTTAGAGTCTGCAGCTGTCTTCAGAATTAATCAATATTTTGCAGCTGTAACATCAACCAAGTGTTTGGAAATGATACTGTTAACAAGTACTTGCACAGATTGCAGCATACCCACTTGTTTGAGGTTCTTGTTTACAAATATATTGCCTGATTAATGCAAGCTTGCCTGTATGAGTTGGAGTAATGTCCACAAAAGTTTGTCTCATGTAATAGCCCTTATATGAATATCAGTTTGTTATGCTCAAGGTAAAAAAAATAAAGGACAATAGAAACTTACTCAGTTTTGAAATGAAAGATTGAACTAATGTTCTGTTAATATGTAAAAGGTGAATTTAAAAGATTTAAAATGAGAGGAAATGTAAAGAGTTGCATTCCTCTCCTTGCATTGGTATTTAGGGCTTGAAAATATTTAGCACTTCCAGAGTGAGTTTGAGATTTGGTGGTAATAACTATGTAACAAAGTTTACAGTTATTCACTCTATATTTAAGTAGTGTCTTAAGTAGTGTCTTAACTAGTGTCGGAAGAAATAATCCTGTAATTGAATATTTAGAATTGAGGTTGATCAATAAGGCTAATTACAAGTGCTATTCATCTTTAATTGTTGGCTGTGCTAAGAGTTTCTTCACTTGTTAGGATGTCTTTATACTTGTATTTTTGTACTGTGACTCAGGCTGATTAATTTTATTTTGTATGTTAATGTGTTTTTGTGTCTGTGATTTTGCACATACCTATAACTGTGACTTTTTCTAATAGGGTGTGGATTGGGTAGAGGCTGAAAAGAGTCTAGAGGTAGACCAAACAGTCAAGCCAGTAGACTGGGCAACTCCTGGAACAAGAGCAGGCCTGGACCTCCTGAATGAATTTTGCTTGAAACGTCTACGCAAATTTGCTGAAAGCCGTAATGATCCAACAATAAATGCACTGAGTAACCTGTCACCTTGGTTACATTTTGGTTAGTGGCCAGATTGCTGTAATTTATTTGTTAGTAGTTAGTTGATAGTTTGTATAAATAATATTTTCACTTCATTTATTAAGCTGTGATCTACCCACATAAACACTACCAACAAAAAAACTTCCTTTGTAGAAAAAGATAGATAAATGAGAATGAATAGCCAGCTGTACCAATATACCCCTTGTAAAGCAAAGTTTCTTCTTGATTTCATTCATTATTATTTTTAACTTCCTGCTATCAGGATAATTGTGTGGTATTCCATAATTGTTCTCTGGCCCTCACGTTGTCCACCAGGGTGTAAAGTTTCTCGCTCATTGCCGCACTAGCCAGGGATTTTCATTTCTGTTCCGTTTACAGCTGTGCAAGTATTTTGCTCTGTAAAGGGATCCTTGGACAGAAAAGTGTGAACACCCTTTTACCTGCTCTCATGAGTAAGCTGTGACTCTACAATATCTAATTTTCAACTAGAAATATTTTTTGTAGAGAAATAGTTAAATGAGAATGGATAATGTCGCTGCTCAAGAGATGTACCATATTGTCATTGGAACTACATATGTCAACTAGATTACAAAGCATAATTGCATGATTATATAAAGGTATTCTTTTTGTGGTTCTCCACTCCCTCCCACATGGTGCTATAGGGGCATTTGCCCACCCACTCTGACATTTTTGTTTCTCTTATGAGTTATTGACTTTAAAAATACTCCCAGAAGGAGATTCAGTAATGATGAAGACAGTGGAGAAGAAAAGTTCAGTTTACGGAAGTCTTATGACAATACAACAAAGGACGAAATTAAAGTGTTTACGAATAAGAAGGAAATGAAAAAGAACTTAAAGTACTGACTATAAACTGCTGTTGTCAAGCTTTCACATCATGTAGATGAAGCACTGGGCATAATGGATGTTGGTGACTCAAACAGGTAAAGAAGTTCAAAAGATGTACGAAAGGTCAGAGATTGTTTTCACTGTTGTGAAGAACTAAATAAGAAGTAGAAGAGAAACAGCAGACAAGCCATGTTTGATAGCTCCTTTCACAAAGACAAAGGGGCAGCGGAAGAGGAGGGACAAGGGGTCCATGGTCTATATTATTACTTACATTTTTCCTTTAAGGAATTCCCTCCCCTGCCCCTGCATGTGTATAAAAGTGAGCAAAAAGTAATCCACAAAGGATTGACAGAAAATAGAAGCTGAATACGTTACAGATTCAGTGAATATGAATACCAAGCAAATCAGCTTAAAATTATCCAGTGTTTTGGCAAAAAATATGTGAGTAACAAGCAAGTTGCATGTATTTCTAATGATAAGATCATATGCTGTTATTCTTATCTATATATATGTATTTTTTTATTTGTTGCAATAAACTCTCTCTAGACATCCTTAACCCACTCACGACGGGTGTCCCACATATGAGACACACGGAAAAGTAAACATTGCTGGGCATCCCACCGGTGCGATGCCAGATCGGAGCTTGTGCTCTGATTCTGTCGCCCGTGGCATGTGCGACGTGGGCAGGTTGCCAGACTTTCCCATGCACCAATTTTGAAGTCGTCCAGAAAATATTATTTTTGGCTTATAAATGTACCGTCAATAGTGGGTTAACAGTATTACCATAACAAATAGAGAGTATGAAAGTATAAATGAACACTAATTTCATTTAACATAAAATGGTAACTAAATGAAGCACTGACTGGGTTGACTGGTTCACTAATAGGCCATCCAAAGGCTCACTAGTTGTACATCCATTTTACGAGCTTCCATCCTTAAGGTCAAAACAACTGATATGCTAAATCTTGCATGCAACAACATGGTGAGGTGCATGTTAGCAGAAGGATATGAGCATTTGAGGTGTGTGCAATAGCAGGGTTACATTGTAGTGGAATGTATGATAGCTGAGGTTTGAGTGTGGGATATAATATATGTGTTTATAGATCAGGCATGGACATGTAATTATGAAACCTCTTCTCGCATTCACATATGTGTTTATACTACTTGATGATAAAGAAAAAAAAAGTGAACATGTATGTTATCAGTTTCCTTTAGTAAGACAAATACACATAGTACTAAAGTATGCACATTACACACTTTTGATTGTTTGAATGGTGTTTACTACAGGTCAGATATCAGCCCAGAGGTGTGTCCTGGAAGTAAAGAGGTACAACAAGCAGCTAAGTAAATCTGTTGAAGCTTATGTCGAAGAAGCTGTGGTAAGGCGAGAATTGTCAGACAATTATTGCTTCTACCAGAAAAATTATGATAATCTTGATGGAGCATATGAATGGGCTCGCAAAACCCTAGAGGACCACAGGCAAGTATTAGAAATGATAATGTGATTCATATTTTTTTGTTTGTACTGTTGTTTTATTTGTTTTATTAAGTCACAATTGAATTTTGTTGTTATTTTTCTTCACGTATTTGCTAAGGCCCTCTGCAATCAAGTAGTAAGTGCAGTGAACAACAGCCACCTTTTGATATACTTTATGAAAGATTAAATAGTATTTGGATTTCATTGCAGAAATGACAAACGGCCATATATTTACACAAGGGAAACATTAGAAGAAGGAAAAACACATGATGAACTTTGGAATTCTGCTCAGGTATGTCTTGAGGTTGTTATAAGTCTTATGATTCTGAAAAAATGTGGTAGAATTAATCCCCCCCTTTCTTTATCATCTAAGTCAGCATAAAATATGAGGAATTATTTATTTTTTTTTTTTTTCTGGTGTTCTGCAGTTAAATTGTATAACTATCTCCAACAGATACAGTTAGTGACTGAGGGTAAAATGCATGGCTTCTTGAGAATGTATTGGGCAAAGAAGATTCTGGAGTGGATGAAAAGCCCAGATGATTCCTTGGCAACAGCAATCTATCTCAATGACAAATACAGTCTTGATGGTAGAGATCCCAATGGCTATGTTGGTAAGTGTTAACATTGTCATTTTTCTTTCTTTTTCTATTTCACTTTTTATGATTTCTAATTGTAGTAAATTTTGGTTAATGTCAATGAACAAAGAAAAAAAAATTCTATATGTATATATATGGATAACACATGGGTGTCTTATGAGAGTGTTTTGCATCACCTAGGCTACAGGTAAGATTTAATTGCTTATGGGTTGTATGCCCAAAGTTTTCTGCAGTTCTAGAATACCCATTTACTTGATGCTTGGCAGATTTATATCACTTAAATGTTCAAAATTACAGCTGAGAAGCAGGAATCTTGGTGTCCCTTGGATATGGAGAATTGCCTAAGTAATGCCTGCCTTGTAAGAAATATACCTTTATTTCAGACTCACTATGTTTTCAGTTCATGCACTCAGATGTTCTGTACAGTACTTTTACTTGTTTCTCCTTTTTTACCTGCAGGTTGCATGTGGTCTATATGTGGTATCCATGACCAGGGCTGGGGAGAGAGACAGGTGTTTGGAAAGATCCGTTACATGAACTATGATGGTTGCAAGAGAAAGTTCAAGATCAATGCCTATGTTGCACGGTATGGAGGAAAACAACATAGGTACATTCCACCAGTCTAGAGAAAAGACACCATACTGTGACTCATACCACTTGTGTTCACATCAGCTACCTAAGACTGAAAGACTGTTCTTTATATGTGAAAGGAACTCTGGTATTGTAAAAGTAGAAGTAGATGTCAATATACTTTTAAAAAATATTCTAAATGTCATTGATTAGGGAATTACTTATTTTTCTTTTAATAGTAATTAAATATTTGTTTATATATGACTGATATAACAAATTGTGTTATAGCTCTCCAAATTCTATATTATGGTAAAACTGTAAAGTTCTCTCAGTTTTCTAAATGTGAATAGATTTTACCCTATGGTGATGGGGCTAGATTTATTTGTGATGTCATCTTATGCAACAGTCTAGATTTTACGGTTATGCCAGAGCTGTGCACAGCCAGCCCACCCGCTGCGAGTCATGATACATTTACATGTTATAGGTGGTTCTCTCTGTCACCGAGGGGTTAAGCAAAATCACATGTTTTATATGAATTATATTAGCTGCATTTAACATCACACTAAATTTTAGATCCGTATTAGTATTTAGCTCATAAAATTGTGATGCCAAGTGCTTTGTTTCACTTCTTTTTAATTTGGAAAGAATCTCAGTACTTATTGAATTAAATGATTGCAAGTTGTTTTGATTGATTGGAAGCCGAGTATCATTTTACTGATAATGTTGGTTCAAAGTCTCTGTATCTGATTTATGTTAAAAGATTTTTAAGTATATTTTAAGTAATTAAAAAATTTGTAAATAAACCAAAGATTTTTATATTTAACCTACATGTATCTGGGCCAAAAGAACTGATATTTGCACCCGCACAGTTATATATTACTTGAATGTATAAAAAGGATATTGGTGTTCACTGAATTATGTTCAGTGGGAATGCTTCAGCAAAGCACTATTGATGTGAGGAGTAAGGCTTGACATAAACACTTATCAGGAAGTAGAGCATAAAGGAACTTGATAGCAATGAAGTGACCGACTAGATCAGTGGTTCCAAACATTTTTATTTCAGTGGGGCCAAGCCAATTTATAATAGTCTCCGAGGCCCTGTTCAGCGAATGTCATCTTTTCAGATTTAGTTATTACTCTGGCCCCCAGATTGGGACACCCTGGACTTGATAAAAGACTGGTATCTTGGGAAGGGGTTGGCAACAGGTTCATAAGAAATCAAACTGAAATGTGGAGGGAAGACTATGGGTAGAACAATTACACATACAAATGCAAAAAGTGGGCTGCACACATGGGACTTGAATGGTCTGACATTTGGGTAAGTTATTATATTTTGTAAATTGTTCATTTCCATTCAGCTCCTCTATAGCCTACTGCATTATTTTAATCCATACGTATAATTTGAAAACTAATAGTCTACAAAATGAAAAACTAATAGCCTAATGTTTTTCCCAAATTTCCCCCCCAGAAATTTTTTTTTTTTTCAAGCCGCCCCCCCTCCCTCCTTATAGCCCCCAATTTCTTCCCCTTCTTCAAAAAATAAAAAAAAAACCAACACGGAGCAGGAGAAAAGAGAAGAGATGGCTTAGGAGGATCTGAATGGAAAAGAAAACAAATTTATACTAAAAATATAATACTACCGCTAAATGTCAGATCCAATTCAAAGGTCCCATGTGTGCAGCCCACTTTTTGCATTTGTATGTTAACTTGGTTTCTACCCATAGTCCTTCCCTCCACATTTCAGTTGATTTCTTATGAACCTGTTGCCAACCCTTCCAAGATACCAGTCTTTATCAAGTCCAGGGTGTCCCAATCTGGGGCCAGAGTAATAACTAAATCTGAAAGATGACATTCGCTGAACAGGGCCTCGGAGACTATTATAAATTGGCTGGCCCCACTGAAATAAAAATGTTTGGAACCACTGATCTAGTCGGTCACTTCATTGCTATCAAGTTCCTTTATGCTCTACTTCCTGATAAGTGTTTATGTCAAGCCTTACTCCTCACATCAATAGTGCTTTGCTGAAGCATTCCCACTGAACATAATTCAGTGAACACCAATATCCTTTTTATACATTCAAGTAATATATAACTGTGCGGGTGCAAATATCAGTTCTTTTGGCCCAGATACATGTAGGTTAAATATAAAAATCTTGGTTTATTTACAAATTTTTAATTACTTAAAATATACTTAAAAATCTTTTAACATAAATCAATACAGAGACTTTGAACCAACATTATCAGTAAAATGATACTCGGCTTCCAATCAATCAAAACAACTTGCAATCATTTAATTCAATAAGTACTGAGATTCTTTCCAAATTAAAAAGAAGTGAAACAAAGCACTTGGCATCACAATTTTATGAGCTAAATACTAATACGGATCTAAAATTTAGTGTGATGTTAAATGCAGCTAATATAATTCATATAAAACATGTGATTTTGCTTAACCCCTCGGTGACAGAGAGAACCACCTATAACATGTAAATGTATCATGACTCGCAGCGGTGGGCTGGCTGTGCACAGCTCTGGCATAACCGTAAAATCTAGACTGTTGCATAAGATGACATCACAAATAAATCTAGCCCCATCACCATAGGGTAAAATCTATTCACATTTAGAAAACTGAGAGAACTTTACAGTTTTACCATAATATAGAATTTGGAGAGCTATAACACAATTTGTTATATCAGTCATATATAAACAAATATTTAATTACTATTAAAAGAAAAATAAGTAATTCCCTAATCAATGACATTTAGAATATTTTTTAAAAGTATATTGACATCTACTTCTACTTTTACAATACCAGAGTTCCTTTCACATATAAAGAACAGTCTTTCAGTCTTAGGTAGCTGATGTGAACACAAGTGGTATGAGTCACAGTATGGTGTCTTTTCTCTAGACTGGTGGAATGTACCTATGTTGTTTTCCTCCATACCGTGCAACATAGGCATTGATCTTGAACTTTCTCTTGCAACCATCATAGTTCATGTAACGGATCTTTCCAAACACCTGTCTCTCTCCCCAGCCCTGGTCATGGATACCACATATAGACCACATGCAACCTGCAGGTAAAAAAGGAGAAACAAGTAAAAGTACTGTACAGAACATCTGAGTGCATGAACTGAAAACATAGTGAGTCTGAAATAAAGGTATATTTCTTACAAGGCAGGCATTACTTAGGCAATTCTCCATATCCAAGGGACACCAAGATTCCTGCTTCTCAGCTGTAATTTTGAACATTTAAGTGATATAAATCTGCCAAGCATCAAGTAAATGGGTATTCTAGAACTGCAGAAAACTTTGGGCATACAACCCATAAGCAATTAAATCTTACCTGTAGCCTAGGTGATGCAAAACACTCTCATAAGACACCCATGTGTTATCCATATATATACATATAGAATTTTTTTTTCTTTGTTCATTGACATTAACCAAAATTTACTACAATTAGAAATCATAAAAAGTGAAATAGAAAAAAAGAAAAATGACAATGTTAACACTTACCAACATAGCCATTGGGATCTCTACCATCAAGACTGTATTTGTCATTGAGATAGATTGCTGTTGCCAAGGAATCATCTGGGCTCTTCATCCACTCCAGAATCTTCTTTGCCCAATACATTCTCAAGAAGCCATGCATTTTACCCTCAGTCACTAACTGTATCTGTTGGAGATAGTTATACAATTTAACTGCAGAACACCAGAAAAAAAAAAAAAAAAAAAAATTCCATATTTTATGCTGACTTAGATGATAAAGAAAGGGGGGGGATTAATTCTACCACATTTTTTCAGAATCATAAGACTTATAACAAACCTCAAGACATACCTGAGCAGAATTCCAAAGTTCATCATGTGTTTTTCCTTCTTCTAATGTTTCCCTTGTGTAAATATATGGCCGTTTGTCATTTCTGCAATGAAATCCAAATACTATTTAATCTTTCATAAAGTATATAAAAAGGTGGCTGTTGTTCACTGCACTTACTACTTGATTGCAGAGGGGCCTTAGCAAATACGTGAAGAAAAATAACAACAAAATTCAATTGTGACTTAATAAAACAAATAAACAACAGTACAAACAAAAAAATATGAATCACATTATCATTTCTAATACTTGCCTGTGGTCCTCTAGGGTTTGCGAGCCCATTCATATGCTCCATCAAGATTATCATAATTTTTCTGGTAGAAGCAATAATTGTCTGACAATTCTCGCCTTACCACAGCTTCTTCGACATAAGCTTCAACAGATTTACTTAGCTGCTTGTTGTACCTCTTTACTTCCAGGACACACCTCTGGGCTGATATCTGACCTGTAGTAAACACCATTCAAACAATCAAAAGTGTGTAATGTGCATACTTTAGTACTATGTGTATTTGTCTTACTAAAGGAAACTGATAACATACATGTTCACTTTTTTTTTCTTTATCATCAAGTAGTATAAACATATATGTGAATGCGAGAAGAGGTTTCATAATTACATGTCCATGCCTGATCTATAAACACATATATTATATCCCACACTCAAACCTCAGCTATCATACATTCCACTACAATGTAACCCTGCTATTGCACACACCTCAAATGCTCATATCCTTCTGCTAACATGCACCTCACCATGTTGTTGCATGCAAGATTTAGCATATCAGTTGTTTTGACCTTAAGGATGGAAGCTCGTAAAATGGATGTACAACTAGTGAGCCTTTGGATGGCCTATTAGTGAACCAGTCAACCCAGTCAGTGCTTCATTTAGTTACCATTTTATGTTAAATGAAATTAGTGTTCATTTATACTTTCATACTCTCTATTTGTTATGGTAATACTGTTAACCCACTATTGACGGTACATTTATAAGCCAAAAATAATATTTTCTGGACGACTTCAAAATTGGTGCATGGGAAAGTCTGGCAACCTGCCCACGTCGCACATGCCACGGGCGACAGAATCAGAGCACAAGCTCCGATCTGGCATCACACCGGTGGGATGCCCAGCAATGTTTACTTTTCCGTGTGTCTCATATGTGGGACACACGCCGTGAGTGGTTTAAGGATGTCTAGAGAGAGTTTATTGCAACAAATAAAAAAATACATATATATAGATAAGAATAACAGCATATGATCTTATCATTAGAAATACATGCAACTTGCTTGTTACTCATATTTTTTGCCAAAAACTGGATAATTTTAAGCTGATTTGCTTGGTATTCATATTCACTGAATCTGTAACGTATTCAGCTTCTATTTTCTGTCAATCCTTTGTGGATTACTTTTGCTCACTTTTATACACATGCAGGGGCAGGGGGAGGGAATTCCTTAAAGGAAAAATGTAAGTAATAATATAGACCATGGACCCCTTGTCCCTCCTCTTCCGCTGCCACTTTGTCTTTGTGAAAGGAGCTATCAAACATGGCTTGTCTGCTGTTTCTCTTCTACTTCTTATTTAGTTCTTCACAACAGTGAAAACAATCTCTGACCTTTCGTACATCTTTTGAACTTCTTTACCTGTTTGAGTCACCAACATCCATTATGCCCAGTGCTTCATCTACATGATGTGAAAGCTTGACAACAGCAGTTTATAGTCAGTACTTTAAGTTCTTTTTCATTTCCTTCTTATTCGTAAACACTTTAATTTCGTCCTTTGTTGTATTGTCATAAGACTTCCGTAAACTGAACTTTTCTTCTCCACTGTCTTCATCATTACTGAATCTCCTTCTGGGAGTATTTTTAAAGTCAATAACTCATAAGAGAAACAAAAATGTCAGAGTGGGTGGGCAAATGCCCCTATAGCACCATGTGG